CCACGAGAACATTTTGAGCATGTTCTAAGTTCTAGGGGACCTACCCGTTCGAGAACGTTCGATGAAGTTTGTAAATAGACCTCAAACAGTTCTAAGTACGTCCAGTCCGTTCGTACACAGTTGAAGCCCGTTTTCGAGAACGTAGTGAAAACTAGTTTGGTGTGATATTAGGGTAAAGCTTAAAATAAGTCCGACCTTCCCAAAATAAAATTAAATGAAAAAAATATAAAAAAGAAATGGGAAACCAAGGGGAGTCGAACAAGGGTACTACTAGTACTTCTTACTAGATTATAAATATCTGTTACTACCAAACGCTCTACTCAGTGAGCTATCATGGATGGATGGACAAATACGTTTTTCTTGGTATATTTATGCACAGACTAACTATTTAGCAGGAATCCAAGTCCGTCAGGAAAATACGTCCGTAGGAATTTTTCATATATATTATAGCTTGGAATATATGTCCGACTAGGACAACGTGTACTAGGATCGGAGGTCCGTAGGACCTCCGGTCCTAGGAACGTAGGTCCTACGGACTTGTTTTCCAAAGGGACTTTTACTCCTGTTACAGGCTTATAGTCTGGATTATGCCTGTCATTAGCATAGGTCAAAAAATTGCCAAAAACTAGAATTACCTCTTTTCATGATCACAATTTAGAGTGCGCAATGCGACAGGAAATAATATAAAATGATTCAAAATATATGATTTAGGTTTTAAGCTATAAATTTGAGGTTTTGTTTCTCATCATATATAATCAGTGCATCGACGTTTTGTATTGTCTCTCAGATATTAATTAGATAAATGGTACAAATGAATCACTTTTATTTTAGAATGACAGATGCTTAAATTATGCTAGTTTTTCGCAAAATGGGTGTCAATATACGTATTGAGATATGGACTGATATAAAGAAGGGCACGTTCCCTGACTTATTGCGACTTGTTCAGTTGTTTAAAAAACAACCATCAAGACTTGGTCGAATTCATGAATCATTGAAGAAAATTGTTTTCATTATCTTCAAAAAATTGATGATATCCAGTTGAAGGTCAAAAAAGAAAAAAACTATGATAGCCACAAGTAACGTCGAGGAAGAATATTGAGGCGTTCGATTGCATATGACTCAAATCGATTATTAGGCATACCCTTGAGTATATACTATAGTGAACATTCCAATACCTTAACATTTAATCAGATATACTGTAAATCTTACCTATTTTTATTGTATTATGTTTTATAAAACATGAACAATATTTTTTTGTTTGACCCCTTGCGATAATATTGATAAATTCTGGTAATAAAACGTTTTAAATGATAAGAAAACTAAGATATTAGCAGTAACATTTTAGTAAATTTTTACATTATGATAATTCATTTTTTGTCCGTATGCTTAGAATAACGGCCTGTGTTTTATAAAATGTATAAAAGTTGAATCAAAATATTTACGTTTTCGACCCCTTGTGATGAAGCATTTTCGACCGGAAAGCCTGAAGTTTTTAAATGGTATTTAAAAAAATCAAGACATATGCACTTCCTTAAATATTGCTTCAAATGTAGCTGCGCTATCGTGTGCTAAGGAACCTTCATATTCGGAAGACATACCATGGACTAATGTATCCAGTAAGTTCTACTCTCACAAAGATGTGTGGTACAAAATAAATAGCCAATGAGGTACTACATCAGTTATGTAACTATGATGAGAAATATTGCCATCATTTTTATCCACGGTCGAGCTATATAAGACAACATCACAATAAGTGATGTGTTGTATTTTTTTTTATTTTGTATTTATTGGCGATTCAGTAATTTAATATGAAAAAATAACACTAGAGCTAAATTACTGTTTCAAGCATTTTACATTATGCTAAAAGAATCATAGGGTGTAGACTACCATGATCTTCATCGTTGAGAAGAGCTATATATATTTTATTCACTTTTCTAATCCCAAGCACACCCGTAATACTGATCCGTTCATCTACGTCTTTTGCAACACTGCGAACGTTGATTTTGCAAAGAAGGGCGAGTTGTTTGTAGAATGAATCGGGGGATTTTTTTCATGAATTTCGCTTATGTTTCTCATCCAAAAAACATCAATACACTTTAAAACATTTTGTTTACTTTAAGATTACACCATGTAATCCAAAAATATATTTCTCGTTTTAAAAGATAATCCATGGATTAACACCCAGGTATTTTTATTTTCCAATCTTCAGAGGGCTGGGAATCATCCATAATATTTCATGCATCAGGTATTAAGGCTTAGGGGATTAACTTTTACACATAAACTGAACTGACAGATGTGTATGCTTACATGTACAACTTCCAGGATTGTAAGAATTCAAAGCTTGTTGATAGCCATATTTTCCTGAATGTGACATCGAGATATTATGGCATTTATGAGTGGTAAAACATGAAAAAAGCATTTTCATTTAAAATTAGCATATGATTTGAATTGATGCCAAGAAATGTATTAGTTAACTGTATCTGTTTTACATCCATTGCAGTTGGCTACATTATAAGACAAGGCATTCACATGCAAAATGTCAACACCTGCCATTTGTTACAGACACCAACTGCCAAACACCAACTGCCAAATGATAAACACCAACCACTGAACACCGTCCACAAAAAAGTTTGAGACCATAACAATATGTCACCACTTGTGGTGGTGACATAAAAATGATCATGGAAAATTGTATTTTTTTTAAAAAGTAGGAACTTCTAAGGTTATTAGAAAATTGGAAGACAAGGAAGGATTCTGGCTTTAAGATATTAGGGTTATAAATTGCAATAAAACTAAAACAAAACATTATTTTTCTCAACTATCACAGTGTATATTCAAATCACAAATACGATATCATACAATTACAATAAGGGTCTAGTGCACTTTCCATTATGATATCCCCATGAACAAAATGAATCATTTTTAGGTGTAACATAAAGAATACAATGTCACATAATACTGTGGAAAATATTTGAGCGTTTGGACCCACATGGGCTGAGGTTGAAGTCATTTAGTTCAGCAAGGGTGTATTGACTTGCCATTGAATGGGCTCCATTGACTTAACATGTGGATATCATCAATTCCAATAGAGGCCATTGGTTTCTATTGATTTTCACAAAAATACCTAAAATACACTATGACCTGAATCGATTGCAAATTAAATAATTTCACAGTATGACACAAATGGTATATCACATCAGATGTGCAAATATAAAGTTTGCAATCGATTCAGGTCATACTTCAAATTAAAAGATTATACATTTTTTCCATCATTTTTTTCCTATGAAATGGCTATAGAAATATTGCTTCAAAAGCAACTTTTACACCAATGAAATCCCATACAACTTTGTAAATCCAAAGATTATACTGTTATGTTTCATTAATTAATAACATATTTGGATAATATGTTGGGATGTGTACGATGCAAATGGATTTTGACAGACACAAAAAGACTTCTTGTTTTGGCATCTCTACCCCTGTACACTTTATGATTGAATATTGGCCCTAATAAGTGGCCCATTCATCAACACAGTGCTGAATATAGGTCAACAAGATACTAGTGTACATGTAAATGTAATAATACCTATAGCTAGGTCTGAATATTAAACTCCAGCCAAATAGAGCCAGCACAATATTTCAACCTTTGTAACCCTTGCAAAATGATTTTCTTGCAATAAAAATGTGAAAATAGCTTAGGGTACTTGTAAGCCAATCTGATTTTAAGGTAAATATGTCTCGATATTTTTCACTAATTTTCATGATTATAAATACCGATAATCAATGAAAGGGACAATATTTTCACATTTGTAATTGTATGTGTATGCATGGTCCATGGTGTATGTTACCATAATTCCTTATATCCACTTAAAATGTCAAAAATATTGCCCAATTTATAATTATCAGATAATTTATTCATCACCAAAATTAGTAAAAAGTTAACAACATGCAGAACTACCTTAAAGAGTTTAATCTCTCACTCAGTCACAATCATGTCAACCAAAACTGTACTTGTATTACATAATATAGGATTATACAACTTACCATACGTGTGCAATCTATATAGCATCCACACTGACATCTTTACAGAATCATATATAATTTTTGAATATAAACTAACTCAACCCAATAAGGCGAGTACTAAAGAATTTACTTACCTGCCATCTAAAAATCTGCTTGGAACTACCATTGGATTACCATTGGTTTCCTCCAAGAGAATATTCTAGGGATTATGGAATGCATTCAGCTTACATAATTTGAGAAATTATTGGCATACGTAAAACCTATTTAAAACAGCATTTATCGTATTCAAAAGCGTTGAGCATCCCAGCCCTCTGAAGTTAGAAAAATAAAAATACCTGGGTGTTAATCCATGGATTATCTTTGAAAACAAGAAATATATTTTTGGATTACATGGTGTAATCTTAAAGTAAACAAAATGTTTTAAAGTGTATTGATGTTATAATTCTTTTAGGTCATTTAATATCTTTTAAGTGATCTTGTATAAAATATTTTGCAATGAAAATAATTTAAGCCCAATTCTCAATGCATTGTGGAATGACAATTTCTTTCAGGCATTGCTTCCTAAAATTAAAAATCGATGCGCGGAAAGCAACACCTTCAAGGAATGGCCATTCCACATTGCACTGAGTCCAGGTCAAAAATCAATTAATAATATCTATCATTTTTGCAAATCATAGAAAAGATGTCACTTGAATATAATAGCCAAATTGTATGTGTCAGTTGCTATTCAAGCATATGGATATCATAAGATATAACCATCGCTTATCAATAGCTTTACTCTTCTTTACAATAATCACCATGGTAACCAATCTTCTTCCTTTATAAGTAAAGACTGCTAAGATGTATTAAATGTGTCAACTGTATAGAATATGAAAATCGTAAATGTACGTATCGGATATCATAGCTCTGCAATGACATAAAGACATAAACAAGTTTTTTCAAGTGTCCTTATTGTAAGTGTGATTATGATAGATTGTAGTTTTTAACAGACAAATTATGATTAAACATATATAGTCAAGTACAGTTAAATCAACTGTGCTTTGTATTTTAGAGGGTGGAGACTTAAATTATTAGCGACTCAAATAATGATAGTACGTGTATGAATCAGATATATTTTGGGATACCAGGGATTATCTTTGAGTATATCCATAAATCAGGAGATTATATTAACAAAGTTATTCGGTCCGTAAAACTTAGGGATTTGTACATGTTACTGATATCGCTTTTGGAACACATACGATGCCTAGAATACAAGCAAGATCAGCTACAGGACTACACAAATCACCCGGCCGACGACTAATGTAAACAGTGCGGTGTTACAAATCATGTCTTCCAAAATTGAGGAATACCTATACCCAACTGATAAGAGACGTCGACGCCCGGTTTCGTTAGCATCAGACGTACGAAAAGAAGCTATTCGTTTGAATATCTTAGAAGAGAGCTACAAGCTAAAACATAAAAAGCAGATCGAACGGGAGATACGATATTTCACAAATGACTTAACGCATCAGAAAAATGTTTATTCTCTGAAACTTGATAAACTACAACGACGTAAAACGGAAATCCAAGAGGAACGCAGGGATAAGGGTATGTATCCAACGGCAGCCGAACATGCCAATAATATTCCAAGACCGTCTCATACTCCACTTGCCGCTAAGTACCGTAACGAACACTCCAGGTCCTCTGACATTACTAAAGTCCCAAAATGTGTAGGAGTACAAAATGGCAAATCGTCGAAAGATTTTTCAAGGTCAGACGTAATTTGTACATTTTCTGTTCAGGGTGACCGACCGCAGCCATTCGTGGTAAACCCATTTGTCAAGCCACCACATCATTTGAAAAAATTAAGCCACAATGGTCTCGGAATACCAAGCCTGCAGATAAACGAGATGAAAGTTTACAGAATTGGCAAACATAAAAATCTCATTAAAGATAATGACATGCTGAAACTTGTAAGATCAAAAACACTCGGCAATGACATAATCAACGACAAAGGCTATCGAGAAAATGTTAAAAGAGTCAGCGACACACAAAATTCTGAAAAAGGCAAAGCACACATCGAAAGACTGGAATCCATTAACGAAGTGTCAAAGCCAATGAGAAATCTTCCTAGGTCAATGAGTGATCCGACTCATAATACGGAGTTTTTTGTACACGATCAATTTAAAAAGAGGCCAACTTTAACTAGGTCAATATCTAGCCAATCAGATGTATCCCAACCTTCAAGACGACTTTCAATGGTCTATAACTCACTCCCGATATATTTCCGATCGTCGACCGCTGCGGAACAGTTTAGCCGTACAAGCGGTGACATGCCTTCAAATAACATCAGCCTGGGTGTAGAAGGGAACGGGACTCGAACACAAGAAAGGATGAGACGTCGATCGACAGGGTCATCGACTTTAACTGCCCAAGAATTAATTCAACAGGAGCCATACAGGAAGGTTTCTACCTGGCAGAATTTTGTTCATCCAAAATAATTCAATAGTGTAACATATAATATGCCTAAAGTGCCGTGTTAATGTACTGTGCCTTGGAACCTGCATCACCCATCCCTGTCCCCGCGTTGCTATAGCAACCATTTGAAGAAACACTTCAATTGCAATATACATACAAATCTATAGAATGTTAGAAGAATATTCAAGAATTACTGTTAGAGCAAAAATGTCAAGACTTTTTGGATAATCCTCGTATATATAATCATGTCATATGAATGACATATTAGTCACTACAGTGTACAAACATCTACAAACTTACTACGACTACATACGAAACTACTTGACATCAGTTTCATATGTTATAGATTGTATTGTATTGTATATTTATTGCCTCATTTATATTTGAGAATACATTTTAGTATAAATATGGTTTACATATAAAATATAATATACAAGGATAAAATTAAATTATGTGATAAAAAAGTTGTTGTTTTGGAAAACATAAAATAAAGTGATAGAGAAATTATGTGTCAAGCAGAGCCTGCGATTGTACATTTTGTGTACAAATGATGATACATTTATTAACGTCTCACATGAAACATCTGAAAGACCTAAAACTTTCTTCATAATAACATTCATACTGTCACCACGACAGCCAAGGGCTTCAAATATGTTATGCCTATATGACTCATACATAGGGCATCTTAATATAAAATGTTCAATTGTTTCAGTTTCACAGAGGTTACACAATATACATCGTTTTGAACCATTGAGGTTGTTCGTATTTAATACATGGGCGTTACATATCAATTGCATCATAGTTTTACACTGGCTTGGACATTTGGGATATTTCTGACAAATCAACCACCATATGCAAGGTTTTAAGTGTGTGACATAGTCACGTAGGTATAAAAGTTTGCCATAACATGAGCATTGCAAGAAAAATTGCCTGACCTCTACGGATCTTACAGCATTGAAAATTTGCAGTCTCCATGACCTCTTCGACGGAAGATATCCAGAGTCCAGCGCATTTTTAACCAGATTTTCGATTCCTAGCATTTTAATTGGTAAAAGGAAAATGCACCGGATAGGAGAGAAAACATCGGCATGGTTGTCATAAGTGACATGAAACATCTCTACTAACCGTGTTATAGTTATATCCCTGTAAATATTATTAAACCTAAGTAAACTCCAGAGATACATCATCTGCAACACTGTAATATAGCCGTCTACTGACAACCATCCCAACGGCATCGTTGCACTAGGATTGGCCGTCGTTTTGGGGAAAAATTGGATAGGTTTGCCAATCTCCGATCCCTATGAGTCATTTCAAGCTTTTCAACATCTGACGCTTGGTAATTTATAACTGGTACACCAAACAGCATGGTTGGAATAGAAAAGGCCCAGTACAGTTTTGATACTGTTAAGGGTGACAAACCACCTGATTTGTGCCCCAGTCCCAAAAGTGAGCAGAATTTTCGCTTACCACTAGTGCAGCGATCATTAACATATTGTGAGATATCATTTTTACTAGAAATTGGAATACCAACATGAACAGTGAAATTGACCTTTGGAATTCTCGTGTCACCTATTTTGAGGACGACATGACCTTTAACACTTGTATCAGTGACCATATCATTAAATGTCAGAAAGTTACATTTCGCTGGATGGATTTCATATCGCCATCTTCTACTATGTTCAAAGGCAGTGTTTAACATAAGTTGCATATCCTTTTGATTTATGACAATAATGGTCATGTCATCCGCATAAGAAGGACATACACAATTTACATCATCAATGTGGCCACCTATATTCATTTCACATAGATCCTGAATAAGGTCAGCCATGTACAACTGATAAAATAGCATAGATAGAACACCCCCTTGGTGGATGCCCTGCATGACATTAAAAGGTTTAGAAAGTGTATTTGAACTTCCTACACGAACGGCACATTCATATTTATGGTAATTATCATAAAGCATACGCCACAGTTTGCCATGGATACCAAGTTTATGTAGTTTAACCATCAATCCATCTAACCAAACGGTGCTTTTCTTATATCTAATGTGGCTAATATTACATTTCTATGCTTTTCGACATTGTGAGCAATGGTTTCCTGAACTAAAAGGGAAGTATGAACAGCAGAGCAATGACTCTGAGAAGCACCTTGTAAGTTAGGCTTAATATTTTTTGCAAGGGATCCAATTCTTTTTAACACCATATGATCGTACCCTTTACGCAACATGTTCATCAGAGTGATGCCTCTGGAATTGTCTTTATTACAAGGATCTTTATTTCCTGCCTTTTGTATAGGTATCAGTATACCAGACCTAAAATTCATGGGAGTGTATTCGTTTAACATGGTTGCATTAAAAAGGGTACATATGATCGAAATTACAGTGTCATTACTATATTTTAAATGTTCAGCACATATCGTATCCGATCCACATTCCACATGCACGATTATTATGCAACCGTGATATGGCATTACTCACTTCACTATCCTGAAATGGTTCATCAAAAAAAGTATTATCTTCAAAATATGATGTTTGAGTATAATAACAAAATATCAGTGTGGTGTATCCATAATACATGTTTTTTAAGAATTGTGTACATTAGACTGTGGACCACTCTGATAATTGTAACTTCTTCCTGTCATGGAAAGCCACACATTCCAACATATTTCAAACAGTCTGTATGATATGCACTTTTGGGGTAGTTGGACTTCATGTAGGGATGGCAGACGGCCCTCGGGCCAATTCATACCCCCACCCAATAAAACCACCTAATAAAAAGAATACTAATGCATGTCATACTTTCATAGTTTTATAGTAGGCAGGGCATATGGTTAGTCAGTGCCAGAAATTTCCAATATCTAACTTATATGGTTACCGTGGAAACAGTATTTATATCTCAAAATCTTCTCAATTTGACCTCCTCCCAAATATGTCCCTTAGCCCTCAAAGTGAAAAATTTGCAAATTTGTTTGGATTTTGTGGCTACCACTTTGTCAAAAGGTGTATAAATATGTATATATTCACACTAAAGCACTAAAAAGTTGATATAATGCTCCAATAAATCAATAATATTTATCAAATATAGTCACACACAACTACTTTTAGGGAAAGGTGGGCGTGGCACTTTTTTGGTACTTGTGTAATTGTTGCAGCATTAAGCGAAAAATACATATTTTAAGCCATTTTTAAGTGATGTCTCAGCTGTAAGAAGACCAATTTCATCCTGGTTAGTCACTTTGGATTATAATGAGAAAACTCACGTAACATTGCATTAAGTTCATTAATATGAAACGCAATAACAAAAACACTACATTGTCGGTTTTCACGTCGTAACATCATGTTTGATTTCTCAGTTGTTAAAAAAGTAAACCGGTAAAAATTACATTCAATATGACAAATCAATATGACAAATCATTTTTATTTCGAAATTGTACGTTAGATTTCACTAAAAATTAGGATAGATTCCCGTAAAAACGATAGGTTGGTTAATGGTAGGTCAGGAACCCAAAGCAGGACAATTAAATCGAGAGGAGACGGTCGATTTGTTTGCTTGCCTTTCGTTGAAAGGAACAAAATCGTGGCCTTCAATTGACATTCAAAATCGAATTATTAATATTTTAAGGCTACAAATATGGTTGGTCGTTTACATGATATGGTCGGTCTTTTACACATTTTCTTCAAATATTGTTTTGAGGCTACCAGTGGAAAACACCGACCGGTCGGTGGTCGGTAGGGTCAGCCTTTTTCGTAAACCCAAAGTTGATGATTCTCTCATCTGGAGAGTATGGAACTTGGGACAGCTTTTCCATTTATTTTGCGATTTATTTGTGATGGTTTCTTGCACAATAGTAGCAGGGTGAGCAGGGTGGCCGGGTGCATTTTCCTGGTGGAAAAAATTAGATTTTGGCTGAATGGTTAAATTTTATCAACTTACCATAGCATAATACCATAGTCACGCCCTGTGATCGTACAAATGGGATGGAGGGGGATTAGGCGATTTCTTCAAGAAAACACAACTTTGGAAGATTTATTTTTTCAAGAGAAAATTTGTAAACTGGATATCCAAATAAATAGGCGCAGTGCATGGCAAAATATGTTTGGTCATCTAGTATTTTTTGAACTGATACTCTTCTAAGAAATGAGATCTATTAAAAAATATCCATCCCAAATTAATTTATTTCGATTAATTTTTGTATAACCCATGGAAACTCACTTTAAAAAGTGAGCAATATCATAAGTATTGTGATAATAACGTCCCTTATGTTACGCGGTATATGGCATACATTCATGGTTGCGCGGTATTTGTGACACGGGTGAATATGCCATACTCACCTGCGGTATATGGCATATTCCGCAGGTGAGTATGCGATATTCCGCAGTGAATATGCGATACATTGATTTCAGTGAATACCCGATACTCACCTGCGGAATATGTCATACTCACTTGCGGAATATGCCATATACCGCAGGTGAATATGACATATACCGCAGGTGAAAACGTGATACAGAAAGCCTTGATTTGATTGGTTGCGAGAATCGACTCTAAATGTAAAACTACGCTGTATTACCATTATAGTTAGTGCGTCGAGTACTAATATATGAATCCTGGATTGATTGAGTAAGTTTATTACGCGAGATTGGTGACTGATACTTCTGCTAAGGTAATATATTCGATACACAGTACTGTTGATTCAGTAATCATTACAATAATTAATAACGTTTTACTATTTCGTTCAATCGATGCAATTGACAATTGCGTACTTCCGTATCACGTTCTCATTGGTTAGTTTGTATGCCATATACCGCAGGTGAATCTGTCATACAACGCAAGTGAATATGCCATATTCGTTGCGGAATATGACATATTTTTGTATCGTGTTTACCGCGTAACACCTTATACATATTTATTATAGGTCGTGTAGACCATTGTTGCCCGATTTATAGCAAAAACATTGAGTTTTGCAATAATAGTTTTGGTGATGATGCGCCTTTTTAATAGATCTCATATCTTAAAAGGGTATCGGTTCAAAAAAATACTAGATGACCTAACATATTTTGCCATGCACTGAGCCTATTTATTTGGCAATTCAGTTTTAAGTTTTCTCTTGAAAAAATAAATCTTCCGAATTTGTTGTGTTTTCTTGCAGAAATCGCCTAATCCCCCCCCCCCCCTCCATCTCATTTGTACGATCACCGGGCGTGATAGTAACCATTAATTTTGACCAATCAAATAAGAGATGCTGATAGTTTAAGAATCAATATAAAGAAAGTATTTTTTACATATTGTGTTGCCAAAATGAGAGCATTTCCTTGAACTTATTGATCGATGTGTACTTTAACTGTTTTGAAGGAAAGAATGGCTCGTGATTGTGTTCTCAATGGTATTTATTTGTACGATAATCACGGGTAGGTTTCGTGATTGATGTAATCGACCATACTCACAGGTATCATCCATGCCTAGATTTTATCCGATCATACATCGGTCATGCGTTTCTCTCCAAAACTTGATTTTCTTCAATTTTTGAGAAATTGACAGAAAAAGTTATTATTCACTTTTAACCCCTATTCCCCACGTAAAACCAATCATCGCA